CCTCGTCAAAATGTCTAAACCCCAATGTCGAGTCTGGATCCAATGTCGTCAAGTCTCAAGTCACAACTCTCTCTCTCTGTCGTAGTCCGCTGATACTGAGAAGTCAGGTGGTGAGAGGGGAAGAAGAGATGGTGGACTTAGAAGAGGAAGAAGAAGAACTCTTTCTCTCTCTCTCTATTCGGTACTACCCTGTGAAGTTGGCGCCTTGATGCAGGTACCTCGAAGATGGAGCTGAAGCGATGGCGCCACAGGTAAGTCTCACTGGCCTCCGCCAGCCATCTCTCCCCAACACTACTACTACCACCTACTAGCGCCCAGCGCTGAAGACTACTGCTATGGCTACTAGCGCCCAGCGTTGAAGACTACTGCTAGCGCTAAGCTACTCCTGCAGTGCTCCTCCTGAGTGCTGCGGCTGAATCTTGAAGACTACTCCTGCCTTCTGTCCAACTACCTACCCATGAAGTGCATGGGAACTTCCTATGTACTACTCGGCCTACCTCCTGACTGCAGGGCGAGGCAGTCCAGGAGGCTGCTCTTGCCAATGCCGACGGGAGTCAGGGGCTGCCGCTGCAGCTCCTGCTGAGGCTGTTCGTGGGAACAGGCTAAAGATAGCCTGTTCCCGAAACCCTGGTTTTGTGCCTGAGTGTTAGGGCAGGTCGATCTTATGAGGGCCCGAAAGTGGCCCTCCATTTCAGGCTGAAAAGACTCAGGGTTGAAAAGACTGAGGGTTGAAAAGCCCTGTTTTAGGCTGAAAACGAAATAGGGCCTGCAGGCCCTCGTTTTCAGTTTTTAGGTTGAAACGACATGGGGCCTGTAAGCCCTTATTTCTAGGCTTTTAGGCTGAGAATGCGGGACGGGCCCTGCAGGCCCATGTGGGTACGCAGTATGCCACACCCCCCCCTCCCTGAAAGACCGAGCTTACCTGCGAGGGCGAAGCTGTGTGTCTGAGGAAGGGACCACAGTCCGGGTGGGAGGGGCAGGTCGTGAAGGTCCCTGAGCTAACCTTTGTCGCTCGTAGTGAGGGTAGATCAGCGGTGCGGATGCTTCAAATCTGTTCCTCAAATCCACCGAGTGTCGTCGGGATCCCATGCTTTGAATGTCACTTTGTACTGTTGAGGCTTGCTGCCGTACTTGCGATCCGAGATGACGCGGTCAACTTCCTGATGACCATCCATAGAAGGAGGGTCCTGCGATCGTCGGCCCGGGAAGTCGTCGCTCTTAGCTGGTGTGTATGTCGCCAGCTTCGAGCCGTGAAAGACTGGATGGACCGTCAGATGCGGGGGAATGTTGATCACAAATGAAGGACCATCGGGCTCATAGCCCGTGGCTGATGTTACGGGCCATGGTCCAAACCACTTGGGAAGCAGCTTGCGTGAAACATCCTGTTCCAGAGCAAACTCTTCCGCGGAGACCCAAACCAGATCACCGGCGCGGATGGGACATGGCACGCGACGCTTGTTGGCTTGCTGCTGCATGCGGACTTGAGCCTTTTGCATATTCGTGCGGGCTTGAGCCAGCTATTCCCTGTACTTCTGGACGGAAGCGGGAGAGCAAGCGGCGTCGATGTCGGCTGGTCGTAGGAGGACAAGGTCGACGAAGATACGGCCTTTCCGTCCACCGTGGTGCAACTCGAATGGAGTCACGCCGATCGCCGGGTGCACCGAAGTGTTGTAGGCGAACTCGATGTCGGGGAGGTGGTCATCCCAATCTTTCTGGTCCGGACGGATGAGCGTACGAAGCATCATTTGAGCGGTTTGATGTGCCCACTCCGTTTACCCGTCCGTCTGTGGATGTCGAGCCGAACTTGGTTTCATCTTCATGCCGGACTCCTGCATGATAGCAGTCCAAAATGTCTACATGAAGCGAGTGTCGCGGTCGCTGAGTATGTCTTCTGGTACACCGTGGCCGCAAATCCAACCGGTGTGCAAGAGGCATGCCAGCTCGGGAGCCGTGGAGTAGTACTTGCAAGGGAGAAAACACGCATACTTACTCAAACGGTCCACAACCGTGAGGATGTCGTCGTGCCTGAGGCAATCGCGGGGAAATGGTCCGGTGACATCCATGGCAATGGAGAGGCCGGGTTCCCGTGGGATAGGCATCAGGCGCAACTCACCGTAGGGGTTGCAATTGCGGGGCTTGCTTCGTCGGCAAACTTCGCTAGAGTCGCAATACCGAGTGAAATCGGTAATGAGGTCGGTCCATCGGAATCGTTGTCGAAGCCGTGCAATAGTGCGGTTGACTCCAAAATGGCCGGCGAGTCGCGAGTCATGGTACTCCCCGAGAAGGCGAGTCCGAAGACGACGGTCTCGTGGAACACACAATAAGTCCTTGCCTCTTGAGTGTAGGAGCAAGTACCCGTCGGCAATGCGATAGTGGTTGGCCGGCGGGTGATCCGAAGATAGCTGCGCATACAACGTGGCGAAGCCCGGATCAGACTCATAGCCGCGGATGAAGTGTCGCTGGAGTTCCTCGTCGAACGAGAAGGCATGATGTGTCATAGCGCAAAGATTGGGTCTTCACGTGAGTGCGTCTGCTGCGCGATTGGAGAGGCCGAGGAAGTGTTTCGGTGTGAAGTCAAATTGGTCGATGAAGTACATCCATTGTTCGATCGTGCTGCTCACCGTATCCTGCGTCTTGTAATAGGTCAATGCGTTGTTGTCCGTGACCCATGTGAACCTTCGACGCCCAAGGAGGAAGTGTCGCCATCGCTTGAGAGCCATCACGAAGGCGAGCAGCTCCTTCCTTGCATCATCAAGTGAATTGATGGGAGGCATTTTGTGGCTGAAATACTCCACAGGGTGTCAGTCGTTACCGTCGTGTTGTTCCAGCCGGAAGCGTCAGTTGTCACTCTCGTAGGCAGGGTGGGGTCATATATGCTAAGGACGGGTGCCATCAGCATGGACGTCTTAAGTGCTTGGAATGACCGGCGTGCGTCGTCATCGAATACGAATGGCACCTTTGGCGATTTTAATCTCGTCATAGGTGCAGCAATCCTTGAGTACCCGGTGATGAATCCCTGAAAGTAGCCCGCCAACCCCATGAATGAACGGACGTCCGTGGTGTTGGTGAGCTCGGGCCATACGCGGAGGGCCTCGATCTTGTCCGCGAGCGGACAGATGCCTTGCGGCGTCACATAATGTCCCAAGTATTCCAGCTCCTACCGCGTGAATTCGTATTTGTCGCGGTTGGCTTTGTACTTGGCTTGTCATAGCCGCTCCAAAACGGTGCGCAGGTGTTCCACATGCTCGTCCAACCTCCGATTGTACACGAGGATGTCGTCGAGGTAGATAAGTACGAATCGATCCAGCATGTGTCGGAACTCCGTTGTCATAGCCGCTTGGAAAGTGGTCGGGGCATTCATAATGCCAAATGGCATAACCACCATTCGAAATGCCCATATCTCGTTTTAAACGCGGTCTTGTACCGGTCCTCCTGCCGAATCTCGAGTTGGTGATATCCCGACTTGAGGTCAAGCTTGGAGAAGAACTTGGCGCCGCCCAGCCGTTCGAGAAGGTCGTCGATGCGTGGAAGAGGGCCGACGTTTCTGACCGTTTGCACGTTGAGCTTGCGATAATCGATGCACAACCGCAAATCCTTGTTCTTCTTCCGGACGAAGAGAACGGGAGCACCGTATGGCGATGAGCTAGGCCGAATCCAGCCTTTCTTCAGAAGGTCGTCGAGTTGTGCTCGCAGCACACTTAACTCTTCCTCGCTCATTCGGTAGATGCAACCACGCGGAGGTACAACCCCGTCCTCGAGGATGATCTCGTGGCGGATGGGCCGATCCGGTACTACTCCGTGCGGGCCTTCAAACACGTCGCCGTAGGCATCGAGAAGTTCGGTGATGCGTGGGTCTGAAGATGAGTCCATCGATGAAGCGTCATGGGGCGGGAGGGCGTGGAGAAAACACACCCCCATCTCCTCGATCGTCTCTGATGATGGAAGCTCGCATGCTTGCAGCGGACACCACATGGCAGCTGATCGAAGGGTGAGGAGGAGCTACCGTGCATGGGACTAGTACTCCATTCCGATCACGAACGTGAACGGTGCGGCGGTAGAAGTTCACCGGGTGATCCGCGCTTCGCAGCCATGACATGCCCAAGATCATGTCGAATTTGGTGTCCAAAATATCGAAGGACACCGCCTCGCTTGCATGCGGGGCAAAGTACACGGGGACGTCATCAATGCACCGGTCGATTGACTTGTGCGTGTGACCGTCTGCCAACGTGACTTGCGTAGGCTGGGACTTCCTCCGGACGTGTGGGCCAAGGCCGGCGCGTACCATAAAGTCCTGGCTCATGTAGTTGCGAGAGGCTCCGCAATCGATCGAAGCGTTGCAGGTCGCCTCTCCGATCTGAATGCGTACATATAACAATGGTGCGTCGATGTCGTCGTACCGTTGTGCCCTGAACTCGCGGTCGATCTTCGCAATGTAATTGTGAAGGTCGACAACCTCTACTCCGGCGTCCATCAACGGAGTTGGTACTGCAGTGTGCAAGTAATCTCGCAATCGTGCCATGAGCACGTTGCAATGCGGTTTCGGCAATCGACCGGACTGGGAAGGGGCATCCATTGGAAGTCCGCAAACGTCAACGGGTCAAGGTCTTCAAGTCTTGACCATATCGTTCAATCCAAGACTATAGATGGGGGCGAAGCTGCCGACTCGTTTGCCGATGGTAGCGAAACCGTGCATGCGGTAGATTGTTGCACGTGGAGTGGTTGGTCCAACGGTGGGACCGAGTGGACAGCATAGTCCTCGTAAGTGTACCGAGAACTTGCGACATTCGCATCTTCCCCAGATGTGTAGGAGGCCGCTAGCAAGGCAACCGAATCTGGCGGAGTGAGAGGTGGAGTCGCCTCACCTCCTGCGGAACTCAGTTTCGCGAGTTGATACGAGGCCGAACATCCTCCTTGCCTTGATCTGGGCATTGGGAGGTCTTGTGCTTGGTGTTGTTGCACCAATAGCAGCAGCCGTAGCGGTCGCGCCACTTGTATTATGCCTCGGTCAAGTGAAACTTGACCCATGGTGCTGGCTGTCCGTTTCCGGCCGGCGATGCGGTTTTTGCCTTCCCGTTCCCTCAGGACTTGTTGTTGCTTCGCGGCTGGACAGCAACCACCTGATCTCCCTCACGTGATGCTTGGGTGGCTGCCGGGTCTTCCACAATGTTGTCCGTTTGGACTGCAACAACATGTTGCGGCCGTGGACCAGTTCTCACCTTCTCCACATAGGTTGGCTGCCACGTTGACTTCTCGTGTGCAGCCGCCCTGTTTGTCTTGATGATCTCCCTCGCCTTGTTGATGATTTTGGCGAAGGTGTTGTACTGCTCGCAATCACCAAGTGCGAGGCTCAAAGCGGCGCATGACCGGTTGTAGAACTCCCAGCGCAAATGCGGAAATGGCAAGTCCAGATCGGGCGTCGCCACGATCTTCTGCCAATCCGTAAGCCAATCACGTGTCACTGTGTTTCCTTGAGCTATCGTGAAGATGCAGTTAATGGCGAGCGTCGGGGCGCCGTCAATGATGAACCGCTTCTTCCATTCTTTTGTCAGATCCTCCCAGGAGACCTTCTTGTGTAGGTCGAAGACCTGGACGCCGTGGACGGTTGCCATATGGCTGAGCCAGATCTGGCATCCTCCCTTGGCGTTAAGGAACAGTGCGCCGATGAACAGATGTTCGGGGACCTCACGAGTCCCCAACTCCGTTGTGAATCCTTGCCACCACACGACCGGGTCTTGATGTGTGTAATCATCAAACTTCTCGATCCGGAACGTTGACATCTTGTAATGCTTTGCCGTGCTGGTGCTGCGATCGGGGCCAAACGGCTGTTGTCGCTGCCTGATCTTGGTCTTCAGTGTATCCAGCTGCTGGCTGATGGTTGCGGGCACTGCGAAGGTGCTAATATCACCTAGCATTGCCACTACGTGATCGACGCGTTCCTCCAGTTGGCGGACAGAGGGTGCACTGCCGGACTCGCCAACCTCCGGTCTTGGTGCAGTTTGCTCCAAGTCCTGTACACGGGAGTCAAGTACCCGTGCTGCATCCTCGTGTTGAGCCTTGTGGTTCCGTACGGCCCGCTGGAGGTTCACCAGCTCGGACTGCAAGTGGTTACTAGTGTAAACCAACCGAGTCACTAGTGTGGCCATGAATTCCTTGTGTTGTTCCTCCGGTGTCGCGTCGTCGTGCTCCTCGGATGGTTCAAAGTGCGAAAACTTGAGTTTTTCGATGCTGGTGGCTTCATGCCGCTGTAGCAGATCCTGGGCTTCCTTGCGGCGTGCCTGGGTATCTGCATCTGCTTCGGCCTGGAGCCGCTGCTTCTCAGCTGTTGCCGCCGCTTCAGCCTGTAGGCGGACAGCCTCGGCTGCCACCTGGCGTTGTTCCTGAGCCTCGATCAGTGCGAGGTGAGTCTGGAACCGCTGTTTGTACTCAGCAATGGACTCGTTGGCCAGTTGGCCTAGCATGCCCAGAGTTGAGCGGTGAGTCTGGAACCGCTGTTTGTACTCAGCAATGGACTCGTTGGCCAGTTGGCCTAGCATGCCCAGAGTTGAGCCCGTCATGGTGGCGGGGCACTGTTGCTGACGTGGCACTGCTGAGGTGGCACTGTTGCTGACGTGGCACTTCTGATGTGGCACTGTTGCTGACGTGGCACTTCTGATGTGGCACTGTTGCTGATGTGGCACTGCTGACGTGGCATTGTTGTTGACGTGGCACTGCTGATGTGGCACTCTTGCTGACGTGGCATTGCTGACGTGGCACTGTACCAACCCGGAAATGCATGCAAAGGGGTGGGTGGGAGGGAAAACGCAGGTAGGTAACCAACCCAACAATACTTTCCTCCCGGCCCTAATCAACAGATAAATAAATAAAAAAATAAAAAAGAGGGCTACTTCCTTTTTTTTTTTTTTTGTATATCTGTCGATCTGTTATGAGTGAGGCATGTCAGAAGAGTACTATGAGCGAGATCTAGGGTAGGTTCCGCAAAGTTTCGGCTTTCACAAAAATGCGATCTTGAAATTTTTTTTTGCGAAATAGAGCAAAGGTGCGATTTTCAGAAAAGAACTAAATCCAGTTTCTGAGAATATGGCAACCTCCTAATCTGCCTAACGACATGACCACTTCTATCGTCATCCTAATATGCCTAGAAAACGAAATGTTAACATCAGAAATTTTCAGCTATGTATGCAAATATTAGAGAAACGAAATGCAACTATCAGGAATTTTCAGATAAAACGAAATGCGATTATCATAAATTTTCAGATATTTGTTGCGTGAAAACGAAATACAAATATCAGAAATTTCAGGTAAAACGAAATGCGATTATCACAAATTTTCAGATATTTGTTGCGAGAATTTTTCTTCTTTCCAGAGATTTGACGAAGTCCTAGATTTACTAACGAGTAATCAATAGATCAAGCAAGCTGGCTACATGATTGAGCGGGTCCTCTGAATGAGAGGTCTGCTCCGATACCAAACTGTTGCATATTGTAAGGGTGCAAACCAAAACAAGAACCGACCTCTCAATACAAAGTACAAGATAGCGTAGCGGAAGACATAGATACCAATGATCCGAACAATCAATATTGCAATGGAGCCCCGAACATACATCATCATCATCACTCCATGGTGTGAAGGGGTCTGGCGCTCACACAGGAAGAATGCGCCAACCCCGACCATACACAGACGAAGAAGAGGGGGAAGATGGGAATGTCGTCAACACCAAGTCTTCGGCACAGGCCCAAATAGTCCCTTGTCATAATGTCTGAACCCCAATGTCGAGTCTGGATCCAATGTCGTCAAGTCTCAAGTCACAACTCTCTCTCTCTGTCGTAGTCCGCTGATACTGAGAAGTCAGGTGGTGAGAGGGGAAGAAGAGATGGTGGACTTAGAAGAGTAAGAAGAAGAACTCTTTCTCTCTCTCTCTATTCGGTACTAACCTGTGAAGTTGGCGCCTTGATGCAGGTACCTCGAAGATGGAGCTGGAGCGATGGCGCCACAGGTAAGTCTCACTGGCCTCCGCCAGCCATCTCTCCCCAACACTACTACTACCACCTACCAGCGCCCAGCGCTGAAGACTACTGCTATGGCTACTAGTGCCCAGCGCTGAAGACTACTGCTAGCGCCAAGCTACTCCTGCAGCGCTCCTCCTGAGTGTTGCGGCTGAATCCTGAAGACTACTCCTGCCTTCTGTCCAACTACCTACCCGTGAAGTGCATGGGAACTTCCTATGTACTACTCGGCCTACCTCCTGACTCCAGGGCGAGGCAGTCCAGGAGGCTGCTCTTGCCAATGCTGACAGGAGCCAGGGGCTGCCGTTGCAGCTCCTGCTGAGGCTGTTCGTGGGAACAGGCTAAAGATAGCATGTTCTCGAAACCCTGGTTTTGTGCCTGAGTGTTAGGGAAGGTCGATCTTATGAGGGCCCGAAAGTGGCCCTCCATTTCAGGCTGAAAAGACTCAGGGTTGAAAAAACCCTGTTTTAGGCTGAAAACGAAATAGGGCCCGCAGGCCCTCGTTTTCATTTTTCAGGCTGAAACGACATGGGGCCTGTAAGCTTTTATTTCTAGGCTTTTAGGCTGAGAATGCGGGACGACCCCTGCAGGCCCGTATGGCTACGCAGTATGCCACAGTACGTGTGGAGGTGTGCTGGGATCTCTATCGTATACGACGGGCCGTCCTCTCCTCCTTTGACTTCTAGGACAGGCCACGGTCCTCTATATGCAGGTGAGAGCTTCTGCGAGATGTTTTCCTCCGGTGCGAACTCCTTTGACTTGACCCAGACTAGGTCACCTACCTGAAACTGTGAAGGTCGGCGGTGTTTGTTAGCCTGCTCTATCATGCGGTGCTGGGCCTTCCTCAGGTTGTCTGTGACCTTAGCAACCTCTTGCTCATGATGGAGCGCGAACTCTCGAGTACCGGGTGGAAGTCTCTGGATCTGATCCCGGTTTAGTCCTTCTAGTGGTCGCCTAGGTTTAAAAGACTTATGTAGCTCATTAGGAGTCCGACAAGTAGCTAAGTGAACACTGTTGTTGTAGGCGCTTGCTACTTTGGGAAGCAACTCGTCCCAGTCTAGCTGATCCGGTCTAGTGTACATTCTGAGTAGCTGTTGCAAGATCTTATTCATCTGTTCTGTCTGACCGTTAGTCTCGGGGTGTCGTCCTGACGACATCAACAACTTAGACCCGTGTACTTTCATAAGATCTTGCCAGTTCTGGCTGGTAAACCGGGTGTCCCTATCACTTACTATGGACAATGCCATACCATGCTCACTTACACAGAAATCAAAGAACTTCCTTATAACTAACTCTGTACGGGCCTTTGAAGGCAAGGGAACAAATACTGCATACTTACTAAATCTGTCTCCTATGACCATGACTTGATTTGTTCCATGTCTGCTTCTGACTCCAGTATCCTTGAAGTCAATGGACACTTAATCTCCGGGTCCTGAGGGAATAGGCAAGGGTCTAAGAAGATCCAGAGGGGCTCTAGTCGTAGCTTTATTACGCTGACACACTTTGCAATTGCGCACATATTCTATGCAGTCTGCTTTCATGCCTGGCCACGTATAGGACATCATCAGGTTAGCTGAAGTCGTCTGCCATCCGAAGTGCCCTTTCATATCGTGGCATTCCCTTAAGATGAGACAACGGATCTCTTCACTATTGGAGACACAGTGTGTGTCAGCGACATTAGTCTTCTCAAACAGTAGCCCGTTCGTGGTTCGGTAGTATGGCTTACTATTGGGGGCTTCCTTTACTCTCTTCAGCAGCTCATTGTAGATCGGGTCATGTGCATAGGCATCTCTTATTTTCTGTTGCAGATCGGCCCCTATGTCTAGGTAGTGCACTATTGCGCCGAAGTAATCAAATCTCCTACTTAGCGCATCAGCTACCACGTTATACTTGCCTTTGACGGGTTTCAACTCAAAGTCATACTGGTCTATCTCAGCAGCCCATCTAGTCAACTTGGGCGTCATCTTGGCCTGTGTCTTTAGCCATCTAAGAGTCTCGTGGCTTGAGTAAACCTTGAAGTGTCTCCCAAGCAGGTAATGTCTCCAGTGCTCTAGAGCATGCCTGAGAGCGTAGAGTTCTCTTTCATATGTCGATGTTGCGACTTTCTCTGAGGGCAGCCTAGCTGACATGAACTCTACGGGCCTATAACCGTTGCCGTCATCTTGCTGTAGAACGGCGCCTATGCCATACTGACTCGCGTCTGTAGTAACAACGAATGGTAATGATGGATCAGCAACTTTGAGGACAGGGTACTCTATCAAAGCCTTCTTCAATTTCTTGAAGGTTGACTCACAATCTTGGTCCCACTTCCAGATAGTCTCTTTCTTCAGAAGTCTACGAAGGGGAGCAGCGATCGTGGAGAAGTTCCTCACAAACTTCCTGTAGTAGTTAGCTAGTCCTAGGAATGAGCGCAACTCTGTCAGCGTCTTAGGAGTTGGCCAATCTCTGATGGATGCTATCTTGTTGTCCTCAGGCCGAATGCCATCGCCGCCTAGTACATGGCCTAGGTAAAGGACCTGTGTCTTGGCCCATTCGCACTTCTTCGGGTTAATCTTAAAGTTAGACTCTCTGAGCTTACTTAGAATCTGTCGTAGATGGCCCTCATGTTCCTCGAGGGTCTTGCTGAACACTAGGATATCATCTAGGTAAACTACGATGAACCTATCTAGCCAATGTCTAAACAAGGCGTTCATACAACGCTGAAATGTTGCGGGTGCATTAGTAAGTCCAAATGACATCACTATGAACTCATAATGCCCATACCTTGTCCTGAATGCCATCTTATACTGATCGTCAGGGTGGATCTCTATCTCATTGTACCCTGATTTTAGATCTATCTTCGAGAAATATCTGCACCCCTGAACTCGATCTAGCAAATCATCTATACACGGTAATGGCTCTGCATTCTTAATCATGATGGCGTTCAGTCCCCTGTAGTCAATACACATGCGCAACTCTCCCTCCTTCTTTGGGACAAACAGAACAGGTGCGCCGAACGACGATGAACTAGGCCGGATCCATCCTTTTTTTAGGAGCTCATCTAACTGTCTGCGTAGCTCCTCTAACTCTTTGGGAGACATCCTGTAGACTGCCCCCTTTGGCGTTTTACTGCCAGGTTCTATTTCTATTCGGTGCTGGATCGTTCTGGGCACTACCCCTGAAGGTGGTTCAGATAGATCCTTATATTCTTCCAGCAGACTGGCAATAGCAGGATGGATCTTTTCTTCCTCCTTAGGCTGATCGGACACTGGCCTAACATAGGCCACGAACACCTGCTCTTCAAGGTGCTCCTTTCGCACAAGCCTAGCGAATGCAGGAGCACTGAGGCAGCCATGGGCAAGGGGATTTTCTACCCCGGACTCATGGAACAGGGCGGACTTTCTTGACTTCGCCTGATGCACTAGGGAGCCTACACTCATGCTCCCTGAGGTGAAGTGTGGCTCCTGCTGCCTCTCCCCAATCTGTGCCTAAAACTATGTCAAACGGGAGACTCTCTTCTACAAGGAGGGTCAGGGAATGCAGTACCTTCTCTACCTTGCCATCTTTTTATCCAGGCGAAAGTAGGCGTGGAACCCCTCAACATACTCTTCGACGCGCATCCTGCTATTGTCTGCGAGGATGCTGACCACAGGCTCTTCTAGT